GACACCATCATGTATACGAGAAGCTCACGGAACCCCGACGACGATCGATTGCGCTCTGGGAAACCCGGCGTAGAATTACTCGCGCCCCCGCGAGCCAGTCAACTAACCTGTTGGTAATAGCGGTGTTTCTCCACTTCTTCTTGAGACGACGCTTCCGGAACAAGATCCGGATCGATCTTCAGAATCAGGGGCCAGGATTCTTTCCTCAAAGTATCTTCGACCAAACCGCCCGGCTCGGCGGCAGCGGATTTGAGAGCGAGGACATCATTCAGTCGGATCGCACTCCTGATGCGTTCGAACTTGGCCAGCTGAGTTTCTTTGTCGAGTGCGTCTCCTTTCGAAATTCCCTCCACGTCTTCTTCGTTCTTCGACACTGAGGACTGTACCGTCATCCTGAACTTCGATTTCGTGCAGCGGAAGAAGTTCTCGTGAAAGAGCTGTCAGGAGCTTATTTATTCCGGAAGAATCTCTCTGATTCTTTTCGTATGAGTCAGAGCAGAGCCTCAGAAAACGGAATCCCTGCGCACGGGCAAACGCACGGTTTGGCACCTCTTTGTTTTGATTCCGGATCCTCGCCTGCTACTCCGCCTCCTGTGTCCTGTGTGTATGATGATGATTGCCGGGGACAGATTCTATTTTTGTGAAGTTTCTTCCCGCGAATTCCTGTACGCACTGTCCGGAGATTTATTTTTATTTATCTACGTGAATTCGGATGCTTTCCTGTGTGTACGTACGAGCGTATACGGGATGCGTGCGAGAAGTACGCGGGGTGAAATTCCATAAAAATGGAATCTTTTGACGGGGGAGAGGAGTGTGGATGATGATGTCGATGATCTCTGCTGGTTTGAGCGGGATCGGGCGATCCCCTCCTCCAATTTCCGATCCTGCTCGGGGCTCTAAGAAAATGTTGGGCTACCTTACAACCCCCACAAGCCGGGCGTGATTGACGGTGGATGAGAATCGAGCTTCTTCTTGCAGGTGACCTCATCCAGCGATGGTACAGCCGTCGTAGCGAGGGTGAGACCTCCCAAAGATTAGAGCAACGTCGAAGACAAGTCTCATGTCAGATTTTGTCCACTCTATGATTAAGTCAGTCGGGGAGGGGGGCTGAATCGGGTCCTCGCACGGGGCTGCCATCCAAACGATGTGGGATCGGCTTGTTGCCTCAAACTAGAAAAAACCGAGCTCTCCGAAATCCTCCTCTCTTTCAAGAGACCACTCCGGGTGCATGGCTGCCCGGGCATCAGACTGGCATTCCAAGTGACCGACTGCCCGCTCTTCACGATAGATCTAGAGAATCGGTTCGTCTCGAAACCACTGAGAGAGCTCCACTCGAAGGAATGGGAATGGGGGTTGGAGCCCCTTAGAAATCCATTCACAGCATCCTCGCAATGACGACTGTCGACTGGGGAGAGGGAACTTGTAAGAACCCACCTATGAGCTCAGGATACAAAGATCACGGTCTACACGATCGAGTGTGTCAGGTCTAGACGATATCTGTCTTGAGCCTCACGGAAGCAGACCTGTATGCAATGAGCACCTCCCGTCGCGAGCTGATTCTTGAATTTCAGTCCAGTGAACAAAATGCCGAAAAATACGAGCTAGACCTTCGGAGACGCAGTCAGGGTCCCTCGGCCTAACCCTGGGATTGCCGAGGATCGCAAAGATCACGCCGAGAGCCCCCAGTGAGGCATCGTAACCTCATTTGCTCATCTCGACGGGATTATTTCCGTATCCCATGAATGGAGAGGTCGGGGGAGAACTTGCGCTGATGTCCATTTCAAGCGATTTCGACGATAGATCAGTGAATCGCCCCCGCTCTCGTTGCCCCGGGGATTCACCTCACATTGTAATGTATCCGGTAGATTCTGAGACGGCTCCGATGTCCTTCGGTCTCTACCCAGCAACTGGAGGAGGGAGCACATTGTCGTTTGTCGGCTTGTTGTCGCGGGGAGGAGTCGGAAGCAGTTTCCTCTTTTGAGGGAGAGGAAAAATAATCGATTCACGCTTAAGTTTGAAATCCTGTATCGAATCTATTCCTCTCGGCATCAGATGCGATCCGAGCTTATCGTTAGAGCAGGGGATTGTAAGCGTACAGACGGGAGACGGGAGCATTCTAGATGGCATTCGAATTGAAGTTCGAAACCCCTAATAAGAATTCGATTTACTGTATCGCCGAACACCGAACGTCTCTCCCGGAGTGATAGTACCGGGCATGACCAGGTCGGCATCCGCCTTCGATTTGACACGGACTCTACCTGGAACACAGGGTCGTGATTAATCCCTACAATATATGAAACAGCTAATTCGGCGACAAACGAATTCCGATCCGAAGATAGCTGTAATAGATGTTTGATGGCGTCCCTCCAATCAACACACAATCGGAGCAACGAGGGATTCGTCGTCGTTTCTCGAGAGCTAGAGAGCTTTTTCGGAGATTTGGAGATAATTGGCATCTTGAAGTGCTGAAAACGATGTATGGGATTTTCGCCGTTTGCCACGCAATGGTGGCTTAGTTCTTCGTGAAATCCGAAATTGCTCGTCTTCAGATGCTCATACATCGATTTAGCTGAAAACCCAGGTGTTGCTAAGGGGAAAACTCTCTCGTTGCGGACAAACTTTGTCGCCGGAATAGCTGTTTTATATATAGTAGGTATCGCCGAAATACCTGTTTCATATATGTATAGTAGGGATCTCCGAAAAAGCTCTCCAGCTCTTGAGGAACGACGACGAACACTCCTGGTTGCTCCGATTGTGTGTTGATTGGAGGGACGCCATCAAACATCTATTACAGCTAATCGTTTTTCCCCGCAAGATGCCGAAACTCGTTCGCCGTGACCGAGTTGGGGTTCCTCGTCGAAGGCCGAAGGCGATCACGAGAACTTCTCGTTTTCGCTGCCCGAAATCGAAGTTCAGGATGACGGTACAGTCCTCATGTCAGTGTCGAACAACGACGAAGACGTTGAGGGGACCTCGAAGGGAGACGCACTCGACAAAGAAATTCAGCTCGCCAAGTTCGAACGTCAGGAGTGCGATCCGACTCAAAGATGTCCTCGCTCTCAAATCCGCTGCCGCCGAGCCTGGCGGCTTGCTCGAAGATACTTAAATGAGAATCCTTGACGTCACCGGAAGACACTCCGCATTGAGATCCCTGAATTTTTTGGAATATAGGCAGAGTTGGATCAAAGTGGAGATATTGTCACATCAGATATCGCTTAAAGCGTGATCTACATATCGCACCAGAAATTCTTCGCCTAGATCGTCATCGAAAACAAGCTTCATCCAGTCTGAGATCTCCGCTCTCCCGGAATTTCAGGTACTGATGGATGTAGCACGCTCGATCAGACGCTTCCCACCTTCCATCGCATCGGAAAAGAGGATGAACCTGCAGGACAAGTTGGTCGTCGTGATGATGCGTGTCCTGGTCCCAGGTCGGCATCCGCCTTCGACTTGACACGGACTCTACCTGGAACACAGGGTCGTGATTTATATATAATAAGATAAGATAAGATTCCGATTTAATAAATGCAGTAAACCTCGTTATAACGTTCTTCAAGGGACCGGCCGAAATTGTCCGTTATAGCCGGAGTCCGTTATATCCGACCAAGGGGTCTGGGAAAATCCTGGGAATTTATCCCACGCGACTTGGCAGATTCGATGAGCGACAACTTTCAGCTTGTAAGCAGATTTCGCGTCCCGCTCGAAATCATGAACCAGCCGAAGCGTGCAATCGCGCATAACGTGCGCTCGAGATGATACGCACGATTCAAGCACCGGGAGACTGCAATGGCTCTCATACTCCGATACCGGGAGATCGGTCCGTTGTGTCCGTACTGAATTCAAGGAGGATTACAGGATGCGGACGCCGAAAAAGGTCCGCTGTAAGCGAAAGTCCGTTGTATCCGAGTCCGCTATAACCGACCCTCTCTACATGGTTTTCTATAGGAACCCGGTCGGGACCGCCGGAAAAGTCCGTTATAACCGAGGATCCGTTATATCCGGGTCCGTTATAACGAGGTTCTACTGTATTCGGAACACAAAAGATTGATAAATGAGTGCTCTATTGTTTCAGGTGACTCCAATCTAGCATGCAGCGGGCGAGCAACTCGAGAGCACGCGCGTCGACATATCAACGAAGACGGACGAGAGGTAGGAGAGTGTAGTTGGAGAGGTGGAATCGGGGATGGGAGAGCGAGAAGCGTAGGCCGCTGCTCCCCCTGCGCACATACACTGCTCCCGCGTTTGCCTGCCCGATGGGCTTCCCGCCGAAATGAATATATGAGTTAGTCGAGGCTTTGCGGTTCTCAGATGCAGATGGACGAACATTCCTGGGCGAAGGGAGCTCGTATGCAGTTCGTTCCTATACTCCAGCTCTGACTCGGGAGTCGGGTATCTGGTCTCGCGCGCGCAAATTCGAATGCGGAAGCGTGAGCGCAACTTACAGGGAGGATTACTATCATCGTCGGCGCCAGGATGAATTTGGGATAGAGGCTTCCCGTCGAGCTTACGGAGCGGACGACATCAAGCTGGATGTTCCCGGTATTTTCAAGCCTTGCAACCTCAATCGAGCCTGAAATACCTGAGACTAGCTGGCGCCGATATCCGACAACGATAGTCGTTGCCGCGGGTCGTCGATTCGAGCGACACAGGTCCTGACGGTATGCTCTCCCTACGAATCGAAAGACGTTAGACGTTAGCCGCGCCAGACCGAAATGGTTCGGAAGTCCACCTTTCCTGACATGGAGTGCGATTTGACAGTGTAGCGAAAAGCAATAAACTGATGGCTAATCAACATCAATCAGTACGCAGGCCGAAGGGGTCGGCAGAACTCCAGATGAAGGAGGTTGTCCGGTGCCGAATGCTCTTCAATCGTTCAGTTTGATGTCTGCGACGAGTTGAGGGGAAAGGGAATACTCGTTCGTCTTCCTGGAGGGGGGGGGGGCAACTAGACTTTTGGAGGGGGCCAGACGACCAAAAATGATGACGCGCCTTCTCGGTGTCCATATTTAAGCATTGAAACCGAAGAATTTTGGTAGGGGCCATGGCCCCCTTGCCCCCCCTGTGCGCGCCTCTGATTATGAGAGCTGTCCCGTCAGGAATTATGCATCTCTCGGAGTTGCTTCCTTGTTCGGCTCGTCCATCCACGGATCGCGCACGGAGGAGTTTTCGATCCTGAACGAGTCTTGGAGCGCCGCTTCTGACTACGAGTCTCGCGTAGAAAGAGCCGACTCCCGCTAGCTTCAGAACTCTAGGAAACAAAGATCCCTGGATTCGACCGGTGTTTGCGGGATGAGAAGGAAGCGCTCGTTTACGTCTTCCATGGCAGCAACAGCGCAGTTCGAATGCCGTAATATGATGTCATCGTGGTGGACAGCATCGTGGTGCGAGGGGAAGGGGTCCCCCGCCGCCTCTTTGCGCTCAAAGAGTTCCTCAGAATCTCATTGGACCTTCTCGATTCATCGAAAATTCAGCGATCGGTAGGATGGGATAAAACTTCCCGGCTAAATGGGGCGCTGATGAGACTCCCTCGATGAGCCGCCGGGCGTCGACATGAACGAGAAAAATTATCGTCTCCGAAGTGCCTGGTTCCCTTCCATATGTAGTCGATTCCACATTGAGATATCTACTCAGCCTGCAAACGCATTTTGCCGCCTTCAACTCGACAAGTCTGGGATTTGATTGCAATCGACTTCCATTCCAAATTTCGAATTCGGCGCCTATTCCGCTCAGCGCCTTACAGACAAGATGGCGACCGTGGCTTGATTGAGCATCTCATCGCAGTCGCCGAGTGTGAAACTCATTTTGAACTCTAGCGTTTCGAAACATCGAAGATGTAGTGCGTCCGCTCGGACGACTATCTCTGCCAAAGACTGAAGTGGCTCAGCGTTTGTAAATAGCTAGACAAAGTAGTGGTTAAGTTGGTACCAAAGCGATTGTACAGAGAGTGTCCCCCGACTCTCGAAGCAATCGGCCTTTGCACTCCTGTCCGGAACTCCAAGTGTTGAGGAGAATCCCGAGCACAAAAACCTTCAATCACACGTCGCGTATCAGCCGCAAGCATCGAGTATTCGACATCAGCGTGACGCTTCTACCTCATCGACCTGCGAACGAAGCTAATCCTGGTTATATCACCAAACGATCTTAAGGTACGGTCGATGTTGTCTACTCCGTAAGCTGAGCCCGCTCGGGATCTCGGTTCCCATGAAGCTCATGTTCGTCTCCCATTATCTTATACTGACTCAGCCGGGGAGCCCTTGCGAATCAAGAGCCAGAGCTAGATCCGATTAAATCTGATCGCTATGCTGCCGAAGCGTAGCAGTCTCGCTGAGATCGTGATTCTGAGTGCATTGGCGACACGGGCTAAAGATGTTCGTCGTTTCTGGCTCATCTGCTGTTGTTTTGCCCGTCCGAGCGCATGCGAAGGCTGTTGTTCCGGGAGCATTCTCTCCTCGGTCATTCGGTATATTGTGTCTCCTCGAAATCAAACACGATCAGAGACGCTATACAGCTTGAGGATACGCAACAAGTTCAGATGCTCGGCTCAAGGTCTCCTTCTGCCTTCTGTTCGCAGTAGGTCGCTGCTCTCGAGAGGCTTCGGTCCGTCAGTACAGCTGTCGATTCTACGTGAGATTTGTGCCCGCATTAATCCTGAGTCATGTTTCGAATTGAAGTAATTCTCCAATTGTCTGATAGCGAGTGAGGGTTGTTGCACGTTGGCGCATGTGCAGAAGCGGGGCCCAGACGTATGCGTGTTGAGGTTCTATGTAGAAGGTGCCGACGCTGCATCAGGTTGTTGCACGAAAGCCCCGTCGACGTCGCACCGGCCATCGCTGAATAAGCACCGACATTGAGTTGTTGTTTCTTCACGAATTTTTCCGTTTTGTTTTGGTAATTTTGTGTGAGCCGAGTGTGAGTGCCGATCGATTCGATTGATTGACTGGTTTTTCAACGAAATCGTCTCGATCGAGAGTGATTTTTTTTCAACGTCACGGGATAGGCCTAAGTCCTCGTGAACAGCCGAATGTGAGTTAGTTCATCGGACGTCTCAGTATTCCGGCGACGACGTATGATGTCAGTCGACCCAATACGGTCTCCGAAATCAGCGAAACCTCTTATTTCTAATCGTGGGTCCTTATTCCCTGCACGCGATTTTCCCGTCGCGATTCCCGCCCCGCGAGGGCAGAAAGCGCGGGAAAGTACATTTTGAACTATGACGAAGATCGCGATGTCTGACTGACGGGGGAACTCGATGGTTCTGTTGCAGCGTTCTCCGAGTTCGGGGGAACGATCAAGGTGTGCTCGAGTTGACAACCGTTTTTTCCTCCAATCCCAGATACTTGGAGTTTTGTGGTGAATCGCAGAAGAGCGTCGTCCCCCCTGCTAGGGCGGACCAGGCTGCGATGAGGTCTTGTTTGCAACAGCAGTATGCACTGTGATCTTCGCAAGGCTCCCGTCCAGGCGCACTGCAGACAACCCTCGCTTGAGTTACTTCAGAAAAACTCAGCGTCCCTTTCCGATAGAGATCTTTTTGCTCGGCGAGAGTGGCTGAGGTCGCTTCTCCATTTGGCTGCCTCCGTGTCAACCGAGTCTGCCGCGTCTGAAGAAAGGCTACGAGAAGGTGAGCGGAACCGCGGCTTCCGTCGAATTGAATCCCGTCGATCCCAATGATTCCTCTCGTGTCGGAGACTCGAGCCGTGAGCTCCTCTGAAAAGTGTTTCCTCGATTTGCAGTCAGCAAGACCGTCAACGAGAAAATCAGTCCGTCGCGAAACGGACTTTCTACAGCCCAGACCCGAGCTCTCGTCAGAAGCGTACTGTCGCGGCCCTTGCACGAGCCCTCATCTCGGAAGAGTAGCCCTAGAGCTTGCGAATCTCTGGTCAATTCTCTTCAGAGTAAGCTCGAATTGAGCCCGGAAACTCAGCTCTTGCTGGAATTGTCACTCGTCTCGGAGAGTACCGAAAATAAGGCTCCGGAGAGGTTTCAGTCAAAGGTGAGCCTTCGATCATCGTAGCGAATGAAGAGTTTCCCCTATGCCGCGCTCTCCGGGAACCGAAGAATTGACGGCTCCTATCCTCCGGATTTCAGGTCGGCTCTCTACTCGAACAGTCGAAAGAGTGGCTCGAGTCACTACCGGTCGATTTCTTAGAAGCAGTCGTAGCTTTAGCGGATCCAGAACTCAAGAAAAGCATCCGAACAGCTGTTGGTGATCAAGATTTGCCGAATCGAGCGAGTCGTCTCCTGCTGAACACTCTTCTGACCAATCCGGGAGAGCAGGACCAAGTGAACCAGTCCGTGGACCCCGGAATACTCGATCGATTGTCGTCCGAAGTTCTCGAGAGCGCTCCCATGGAGCCTTCCACTGTAGATAAGTTCGTCAAAGACGTGGGCCGTGGTCTCACCTCTTCCACGGAAAAATGCGAGGCCTATCTTCGCGATCTCAGCAAGGTTCTGGACCTTCGAGGTCCAGTTCTCGTCGCCCGTCTCGTTGGCGCCATGTGCAAGAGCCATCTGGTAAGTTGCGTCTTCGAAGCATTTATCGGTGATGAGTTCCCGACTGGGCTGGAGGTCGGAAGCAGGAGCAGTGGTTCCTCACCTCGATGAAGGAGGGAACCGTTTATTCTTCAGTGTCGACGGAGTACCCGCCTGAAAGAGCTTATTCCTTCCTCAGCCGAACGATGAGTTCATTTGGATGCCGACCTCGGACGTCCTTTCGAGCGGATGGCCCAAGGATCTTAGTTCTTCCTCACAACAAGAGGCATTAGAGTGGAATATCGACGTTCTGCTTCGTTCGATAGCGGCCATCGAGCCTAATCTCGAATGGAAGGATGTTTTGCGAGAGTTCGATTATCAGGGCTTCGGTGTTGGCGACCGCGCAGGTCTCCGGTTCCTTTGGCAGCTTCTCATCAAGGCTTTTGACGGAGTTCAAAAAATTCCCATGGATATCGTCTACAGGTGAGTTCTTAGCACCCTAGACTTCGCTCTCGTTCGATTATCGCTCGCAATAAAGCTCTCGCGCTGCCCAGCTCGACGGGGGCCATTCCAGTGCCTGCCTGCTGGAAGATGGGTTGAATCATGGCAATCTGACATGGGTCTGACCATCGTTGTTTCTAAAGTTCTTATTTTCTTTTACATCGTAGCAAGTGGCAAAACTCGGACTCTCAGCTCCAAATACTGAAGCAGATTCTGATAAACCCGGAAATTGTAAAGTTGACCGAGTGCTCTCCGTACACGAAGCCAGAGCCTGCCCAGGACAAAAACGGATCTCAAAGCTCTACGAGTCCTGATGAAGAAGCCACCAATCCGCTCGTCGCCAACTGGAAAGTCCTGGAGATTCACGAAGCTCTCATGAATATCGGCGAGCGACCCGAATTGACCAAGGCGGTTATCGAACTCTATAAACAAGCTGCTGCAAAGGAGGGCTGTCACGACAGTATCACCCTTGCTCTTCTGCAAGTGCGGAGTCCGATCGTTCCACTGAGACGAACACTGCTCCTCCAATTGATTCCTCACTATCTCGGCGTCAGCGCTCACAACGCTCAGGCTGTCTTACACTACGCTTGGAACGGAATCCCACCCCCGATCCAGCAGGACCTGCAGATGATCGTGAAGGATGCGATGGTAGATTACTACACGACGGGCGACGGCGAAACGCAGAGACTCACGAGGATTCTGGAGCTCGCTCAAGAAATCAAGTGTTTACAAACCCTGCTCGCAGTGCCCCGTTCGCCCGATGTGGCCAACCATCCGAGTGAGTCTACCCCCCTCTCCGATATCCCAGTCTTGACAAAGCCCTTTATCCCGGAAAAATATTCGTGTGACTCCTCGTCTTCCGTTTCCTCAATGATTTCCCTCTCACTCGCAGGTGGACAAGCGATATTGACATTCGCCATCGATCTGGCTTGCCTGGCGTCCCGGAGAGAGTACCTGAAGCTTGACAAGTGGATGCTCGATAACATGAGCTCGAATTGGGAGATTTTCATGAGAGCCTGCCTAAACTTCTTATCCATTAAAGTAATTATCTATCCATTTTCATCGGTCGTCCCTATCTCGTCTGGAATCCTCGTCCCGACCCTCAATTACTATTACTACAGTGAAATATTCCGAGGCGCTTGTTCACAATGCAGCGATCCATAAGTGTCCCTTTGTTGTTCAGTCCGTGCCTTCTTAGCGGTGGACAGAAGTCGCATGGGCCTATTTGTAGTACAGCTCGCGTTTCCATAGAAACTTGCTGCAAGCTTCCCCGTTTCCGCAGTTATGTAAATCCTCATTCCTTATGGTGAAGAACCCGAAAATAACGCGCAATGCTCTCGTTCCCAAGGTACCCTATCTAACGAAACCTTCGGTGGACGCCACAACGCATCTCATCACTCAGGAATGTGTTCATACCATGCTCAACACGCTCCTGAACCAAGTGAGCCGATTTCTCGACTTTCCGATCTGTTTGATGAAATTCCCATTCTCGGGAAGAGGGGGAAAGTCTCATTGGAGTAAAAGGATTGAAAATTTCATTCGGGCCGCTCTTATTTACTAATGGATGGATTCCTTTCCCAGATGAACGATGACAAGAACAAGATGCGTTGCACGGACATTTTCGAGCAAGTCGTGCGGATGATGGAGAACTTCAAGCAGTACATGCAGAGAAGACAACTCGGGGGACCGCCTGTCCCACCGCAAGTCGTGTTCGCGATGCCTCCTGCGCTTCCGGCACCGGTGCATTTGCCTCACAACCATCTGAACCCCCAGCCCCAGCCACCTCAGGCCGGTGTTCATAACCTGAGTGATATGGCGTATCGCAACGCCAGCATGCACTACCAGGCTGCTGGCCCGGTCGTGAACAAGGTATTCCCGGGCGCTCCTGGCGCTGCAGCTCCTCCCGCTCTGATCGCAGGCCCGCACGGAATCGCTGCCGCGGCTCCTCCGCCTCCTCCGACGTCATCCGACGAATTCTTACAAACCGGCGACCTTAGTAAAGTGCACATCTCGAAGGATGTCGAAGAGGAGGCCAACCTGTATTTTCAGCAAATCTACAACCAACAGAATGTACAGAACGATTTGATTCAGAAGTTCTTGGATATGCTTCGGAGGTGAGCTCTTCCGTTCGATAGCCTGATCCCTCGTTCGAACCCCACCATCATGATCATGAGCATAATTCTCGTATACTATCATAATCAAAGTGCCTGAATTATAATTCCTATATCATAATTCTATATTCGTCATTGTAGATCGCATATTATTATAATTCTTATTTCATGAGTGCTCTTCTTTATATCCTTAAATAATATAATAATAATCATTCCCATCTCACATGACACATGACTATCATTATCTATATATATATATATATATATATAATAATTGTATTAACGGGGGAATTCTGCTCGATTCACAGGTTCAGCACCTCAACGATCGCCAGCGAACGAGATGTGTTCCAGTGCATGATCAAAAATCTCTTCGAGGAATACCGTTTCTTCCCGTCGTATCCAGACAAGGAGCTCACCATCACAGCTCATCTATTCGGTGGCATCATCGACTTCGAGCTCGTTCGTGGACCCACCCTGACCACGGCGCAGAGATACATCCTGGACGCGGTCAAGAAACCCCAGAACGTGAAAATGTTCTTCTTTGCCATCGTCGCTCTCGACAGCTTCAAGAGCAAACTCAGAAGTTTCCCAACTTTCTGTCAACACCTACACACGTGTCCTGCCTTCAACCTGTTCCCAGATCATCTACAGGTGTGGGTGGAGCACGGAGTCAAGCAATTGGAACCGCCGAACAAACCACAAGGCACGATGCCGACCTTGCAGTCGGGGAAGATCACCCCGCAGCAGTCGCAAGTGGCACTGCAGAAGAAAGGTCCCGCGTTGCCCGTCAGGAAGCCGTCGATCGCGACAGCGGCCAACATCGATACGCTGCTGTGCGCCTCGGATAAGATCGAGAAGATCATCCAGCCGTCCGAGCAAATTCAGGACAAGGTCGGATTTATCATAAACAACTTGTCTCAGGCTAACGTCAAGCAGAAGTCCGAGGAGTTCCGGGAGCTCGTCGGCGAAGAACTCTACCCGTGGTTTGCAAACTACATGGTGGTCAAGCGTGCTTCGATGGAGCAGAACTTCCATTCGTTGTACGTGAACTTCCTCGACAACATCAACTCGAAAACGTTGCATGCTCTTACCCTGGCGGAAACCTATCGGAACATCGATGTGCTCCTCCGCAGCGACAAAGCCTCGTCCAGCTACACCGACCGCTCGTTGTTGAAAAGTTTGGGTCATTGGCTGGGCCTGCTGACAATCGCTCGGAACAGACCCATACTCGCGTTGGACATCGATCTGAAACTTCTCCTGGTCGAAGCCTACAACAAGGGACAGCAATATCTCTTGTACGTTGTGCCTTTCATCGCGAAGGTCCTGGAGTCGGCGGTGAAATCCACTATCTTCAAACCGCCGAATCCTTTCACAATGGGCTTGCTGTATTGTCTCGTCGAGCTTCACGACGTCCACGGTCTGAAATTGAACCTCAGATTCGAAGTCGAAGTTCTCTGCAAAGCCCTTCAGCTGACGACGATAGCCGTCAAGAACGCGGCTGAGCGACGTGGCTGCTTCAACACCCTGAAAGACCACCTGAAGTCCGTCGACACGCCCCTGCTGGGTCCTCCAATCTCCCACGGCCAGGGCGCGTCGCAAATGGGCAATCAACCTGCACTGACGAGCGGCCCGAACTTGAACCATATGGCCGGCAAGCCGACACCGAAGGTCAACGATATTCTTCCGATGATCCAACAGTACAATCTGAATGCGAATAACGGAGGCAACAATATCGTCGCACCGGCGAACGCCCTTCACAATGCCGGCATGCCTGCTTCGCAAAGTGGGCCCTCCGAGGAGTTCCTGCAGCAGCAGCAGCAGCAACAACAACAGCAGCAGCAGCAGCAGCAGCAACAACAGCAGCAGCAGCAGCAGCAACAACAACAGCAGCAGCAGCAGCAACAACAGCAGCAGATGGCTATTCCAGGACCCCCTCAGGGTATAATGCCCATGCCAGCGGGTCCTAATGCGATGCAGGCGCAGATGGTGCAACAGCCGCATCAGCAGATGCCCCAGCCTCATTATTCGCTTCGGGAGTTCAACTCCGTCACCCCGAGTAAGTCCTGTAGCGTGATGGCACAACTCATAATTATATTTTTGTCCTCTTTTCACTTTGTGCGCATGGCGATTGCCGGGAATCGAACCGATATCGAGCGAAGAGCCTGCTTCGGCTCGGGGGGTATCCCGCGATGGAACGCCGATGAATAGTCACTCATTCAATATTGTTCCCAAAATTCCAGCCAATCTTCCGCAACTGGTCACGATGCCGCCCAGTCCTCTGTTCCAACAATTTCCTCCGCTCAAGCAGCAGATCGCTGTTGCCGTGGAACGAGGTATTCACGAATGGATTACGCCGGTCATCGATCGTTGCCTCAAGATCGCGCTCGTCACTTGCGAAAGCATCGTCAAGAAGGATTTCGCCCTCGAACCCGACGAGAACAAGATCCGTCTGGCTCTCCACAACATGGTGCGTTCAGTCACTGCGGGAATGGTCATGATAACCTGCAAGGAGCCGTTGTTCATCACGATCTCGACCAACGCGAAAACGCTCTTCATCAGTGCACTCCGGTAAGCGATAGAATCCTCTGCATCCTCCTCGTTCGGGGTTCCTGCTTCGGAGAATGATCGATTGCATCAATCCTTCTTCCTGTTGATTCGAATCGTCGATCTTTAATCCGAATTCCTCCGTTCTCCCGCAGTACCTGCCAAAGTCAGATGCCATGCCCATCGAAAGAAATGCTTGAGCAAGCCGCAAACGCCGTAGCGTTGGAGAACGTCGAGCTGGCGACTTGTTTCATCCAGAAGTCGGCCATCGAGAAAGCCATAAGCGAAGTCGACAAGAAGTTCGCCCCCGAGTACGAGGCTCGGAAGGCTGCGCGTCGTGAGGGCAAGGTCTACTGTGACAACAACGTCCTCAACTACCAGGATCGCATGCCAGAGCAGTTGCGTCTCAAGTTGGGCTCGGTTCCTGCTTCGCAGATGACCGTCTACGAGGAATTCGCTCGCCACGTTCCTGGTTTCATCACCAACAACGAACCGCGAGCTCCGTTCGGTCACGACAGAGCTGAGTACTTCAACCAATTTGTGGGTCAACAGCAACCGGCTCAGCACAAGATGCCGCCTCAACAACCTCAGCAGCAACCGCCCCAGGCGGCGCCGTCCCAACAGGCGCACCATCCGCCGACTCCCCAACAAGCGCCGAACCAACCGCAGCCACAGCAGCAGCAGATGGTCATGCCCCGAACGAACGTCGAGGAAACGCTTTTCGACAAGCTGGCCATCGAACTCGAGATGTTGGGCACGTTCATCTCGCGCGAGGCTTCCGGGGTCGCACTACTCGCCGCCCAAATGAATCCCGTCCTCATGCACATTCATCTGGTCAAGGAGGCTCTGCAGCACTTCCGCATGCAGGGAGACATTCCAGCAGGGCTAAATCTCGTCCACAAAGCGGTCGAGGCTCTGATCGAGGGTCTGTACGCGTTCAGCCATGCCTCGGAAACGCATCAGCAGGAGTGGCAGCCGAAGTTTCGCGACACGCTGCTCATGGTCCTCCAGGCCCTCTCAGAGCGTCATTTCCTTGGACAGATGAAAGTGTGCAACATGGTGACGAAGATTTACATCGAACACCCCAACGACGAAGCGCGATTCTACATGCCGACCTTCGAATTCCTGCTCAGGTAAGATGAATATCCACAGCTTCGGCAATAATTGTACTCGCGGAGTAACCCTCCGCTTTCCACCCCCGATTATCAGAGGCTGCGGTTGGTATTTCATTGGTTGGAAGTCATCAGCCGCTGGGAGTAATTTCCGAACCCAACATATGGATTTTCGCACCCTTGCAGAGCGAGCTTCCTCAATCTGCCCATGTTGGACCTCCATCTGGGCTCGATGCTCGAGTCGTCAGGCTCCCTGAGCGCATTGGAGTTCGTCCGGGACCTCGGCCGCATCCTTGAGGTCTTCCGCGACACTGGTCTGGTTTCGAACGCCAGCTTGAGTCGCACGATGGAGTTCATCTATCAAAACCGACGCGGTCCGCCTCAGCAGCCGCCGCCGAACCAGCAGATCAACCCCATTGGTAAGTCGAGCTCCGTCCCTGCTTGAGGAACTGGAATGTTTTCGAGATTCGGTAGAGAAACTGGTCCGGCATCGTCGGCCGGCCGGCTGGCTGGCTGGCTCGATCTGATGATCAGATGGCTCATGCAATGTTTTTTGCAATCGATCCGGTAGACGATAAATAAGTCATAGCTCTTGCAGAAGAATTCGGGGCCGGTTCGAGCGCGCCCCCCGAAATCCTGATGAGCCAGCGAGGGAATCTCGGAGGACCGACCCAAATCGAATACAACAGCCCTTCGATTGCGATGATGCACGCCGGCATGAGCGAGGCTCGCAACCAAGACGATCCACCGGGTCTCCAAGAGAAAACCGAAAGTCTCCTGCGCGAATGGGTGCATCGCTTCGGGTCGAGCCAAGGCAAAGATTCGACACAAGCCTTCCAGCAGTTCGTAGCACAAATGAACTCGCACGGGATCTTGAAGACAGATGATCTCATCACCAAGTTCTTCCGGCTGGCCACCGAAATGTGCGTCGAACACACCTACCGTCAAACAGCTTTGGCAACTCAGCAGGTTGCGAACCATGCCGCCATGTCATCGGCCCAGCCGCAGGGCGAGAATGTCAACGTGGCTAGCGTGATATCTGCGCAGAACGCCTCGGCTATGGGCGCCCACCAAACGGTGAACGTGGCCCGCAACAAGTGCTTCGTGTTCCTTGACGCCTACGTCCGTCTGATTGCTCTGCTCGTCAAACTGAGCGGAGACCAAGCTAATAGCCAGACCAAGGTGAACCTGCTGAACAAGGTGCTTGGTATCATCGCGGGAGTCCTCGTCCAAGACCACGAATCGCGCGCAGGGGAGTTCGTCCCGTTGACATACCATCGCATCTTCCTCATGCTTTTCCTCGAGCTCACTGCCCCAGAGCCCGTCCTCGAAACCTTCTCCTATCAAACGCTGGTGGCCTTCTGCAACACCTGGCACGCCCTCCATCCGTCGAAGGTTCCGGGATTCGCGTTCGCGTGGCTGGAGCTGATTTCCCACCGCGTATTCCTGACCCGCATGCTTGCCATCACACCTCAGCAGAAGTGTTGGGGCATGTTCGCCCAACTGCTCCAAGACCTGTTCAAATTCCTCGCGCCCTTCCTGCGCAACATGGAGCTCGCGGCACCGATCCACCTGCTGTACAAGGGAACCGTCCGAGTGCTCCTGGTGCTTCTTCACGACTTCCCCGAGTTTCTGGTCGACTACCACTATGGATTCTGCGACATCATTCCCGCGAACTGCGTGCAGATGCGCAACCTCATCCTGTCGGCCTTCCCGCGCCACATGCGTCTACCGGATCCTTTCACGCCGACGCTGAGAGTCGACACCCTGCAGGACTGTCACACGAACCCGAGGATCCTGCCCGACTTCGTGCTGGTCATCCAACCGCTGTCGCTGCGTAAATCCATCGATTCCTACATGAAGAATCGACAGCCTGCCTCGGTGGTGACCGATCTCATCGAGGCCTTGAAGAGCGGTCCTCTCGACCAGGGTTCGAAGTACAACATCACTTTCATCAACGCAGCCGTTCTCTACATCGGCACACAGGCGATTTCGGTCGTTCAACAGCTGCAGTCCTCGCCGCAGTACCAATTCGGTGACAGCAGTCGACCTACTCCTAAGGGCTCAGGTCTTCAAGGACCCGTTTCGATGACATGGCAGGGCGTGTCGCGCACGCCACACTTCGAATTATTCGAGCAGTTGATGGCCGAGCTCGATCATGAAGGCGTTTACCTCGTGTTGAACGCAATCGCGAACCAGCTTCGCTTCCCTAACTCTCACACCGCGTACTTCAGTGCTTTGATGTTGGCTCTGTTCGCCGACAGAGAGAACAAGGACGAGGATCCTGAGATGAAGAGCATCAGCAACAACTCCACGGCGAACCATCTTCGTGAGCAAATCACTCGTGTTCTTCTCGAGCGACTGATCGTAAACCGTCCACATCCCTGGGGATTGCTGGTGACATTTGTCGAGCTCCTCAAGAACCAGCAGCTGAACTTCTGGAAATATGAGTTCATTCGGTGCGCACCGGAGATAGAAAAGTGAGTACCTTTCGATGGCCGTTCTGATTTTTTAAGCCGAAAGAATGGGGGTTTTAGGATGAATATCAAAATTCTCTTCTCGGAAATATTCATCCCGGGATCCGTGCTGATAACGTTGTTCCTCTCCAACAGACTTTTCGACTCCGTTGCCAGATCCTGCGTTGGTCAGGGTAAACCCGCAGGACTCGACTAACGCGCATCGATAAACAAGGAGTTCGCACCTGCACCCTCAGGAAGGGATTGAGCACGTTCACCATTCACGCATCTTTTTAAACAAAAAACCATTATGTAAAATGAGCGTCGAGAACGATTTCAAGCTGTGCTATTAGTAGATGAATGATTTTTTTGTTCTTGAGAACCATCGTCAAGCTCGCCTTGAATCCGCATGTGAAATATAGCTTCTACAATAGGGTTTCGCCCTATGTTTAAAGGACATACCAGTGATAGAGCTGGTTTTCAACGGTCTCGGACTCAGTCAGGATAACTTCAGCACTTCGTCAGCTATCCTAGCCGAGTTCCAATGGATGCGTGCGCTGTGTTTGTGTCTTGCAGTGAAGCTGTGGACGAGTTGGGGGACTTGTTCACTGTTAACTGGCCCCGGGATCGAAACGGCGATGGTTATATAGAATATATTCTTGCTTTGGAAATTCTATTCCTTATATGTAATAAATATACATACATAGCTTTCTTTCACAACAAAATATGTCTAGTCGTTTCTTGTAAGCCGGCTGATCGCGATATAAATTTTCATTCGAATCCGAGACGGAGCAACTGAGCTCTGAGTCATCAATCGACTCCCCGAATTTCGATTTCCCGAAGGCGTGCCCGTATCCGCAGCGCGAGCTCGGCTTCGTATCCTAACTCTATCGCACTGGTCTCAAACGTCCGAGAAGAGCCTCGATTTCCAAATCGAATGCGCGGCCCACTCAACGGGTCCAGTGACCGCGGGGTGATACAGTCGAGCCAACGTCTTGGAAAATTTCAGTCCAACGACTTGGATCGGATGGAGCTACCGCGCGTGCTACGCGACCGCATGACACGTATGATCAATTTCGCGCTCGGGAGAAGTCTCGAGGTTCTGGATCCCTCACCACGTCCTTGCGGAACCACTACCTGTGAGAAATACGAGCTTTCCGCCCGGCGCAACGATTCCTCACGGTATACGTTCACCTATATTCATCCATGTTCAGTTCATGTACAATTTATGCTTATCGAGCACACTTCTGAGCGGTCCCTGCAAATCCACGATGTCTGCGATCGGCAGCCCGTCAGGCTCGGAGCTATGCGCGTGTCTGCTTCAGCGCTCCGGCAGACGGTCTGAATGCGCTCGGTACCCAAGGTTCTGAGTCCAGCGTCCCGGATCCAGGCTGCTCGCGGCTGCTCCGACGATATTTCTGAGACCAGGCTGCTGCTCTTCGGTAGCTTGGGGACAAATACTAATTCCAAGTCCCCCTGCTGATCGTCAGTGATACTTGATGGTCCTCAGTCAGATCGCCCGAAATTTCTGACGGGGCGTGATTCGCTCAATATCCTCGCGGAAGATCGAATACTCTGATCCTTTCCTCGGTCCTTCCTTCATCGATAACACTACAATTTTCTCTGGGCTTCAAGACCCCCGGAGGTTCGGAACTCGCAGAAGGTACCGGGTTCCCCGGTCTAGTTGGGAAGGGAATATTGAATGACTACGCTGACGAATGAGAAAGCAACGATGGAGCCGCTGTAAAGCACGACGATGTCACGCGAATACCTTATCATCGTAGTCGACTGACGACGAAAGCAGTAGCCGCGACGCTCAAAAAGTCCATTCAGGACAAATGAAAGCGGTTGATGCGAGCCACGTGTCTGACTTGGGGTCATCGGAACTCTGAAAGTCAGTGTGCCGCCTAGTGATCGGCTCTACTCCGCATATCATTGCGGAAACGGGCATCGATCACGAGTCTCCCGAGCCTCGTTCACAATGGAGCTTCGTAATATATAATTCTGGCCGCGGATCACCCTGGAGAATTCAACGACGTATTTTCATTTCTCCATCGACAGAACTACGCTTGCCTTCCCAGGCCATCGGTCGTGAATGGCTTCCACAGGGGACAAGACAAAGAGAACTAAAGGACAACCGTTCCCGAGGCTTGCCTGGATGCTTACAGGGAGTGCTTGGAAGTGAGTACTCGACCTCGATACATTCTCGGATTAGGAGAGGAAGATGAAGGAGCCTCAAAATTTAGCAATATCCCACGCGAAAATGCGAGGCAAGCCTCAAACGATATCGGCAGCGGAGTTAGTGTGCTTCTCGTACGATTCGACGTCCCGGAGAACGGAAAATGTGATCGAGCTCCGTGAGAAACGATCCCAACCACAAGGGAGGCGGCACGGGAGGGTATCTATAAGGTGAGCCATGTTTGGGAGAGATAGATGGACTGTCGCTTCGATTCTCAGAGAATACTTGGGAGACGAGAATCTGTTCGTGGAAGACCGAGGGAGAGGGACTCAATGGAGGCCCTGTGGTAGATTCCAAGCATAATTTGTATGGCAGCTGGGAGGTCTCAAGCGGATTCTCCTGTACTCGCTGGGTATCGGGTCATGTTCCAATCCATAAATGTAAAGGCCACGGGACGAAGACTTTGTACGGTACTTGGGCTACCCCCCGGCACCGTTCCCTACACCTATGAGCTCAAGCTTATCATCGTGAGAAGCAGCACGGGAGGGCGCGTCGGGACCTAAGGCAGCTCAGGCAGTGAGTCGAGGGAGCTCCTACGCTACGACGCATATATCAAGCAACACGCTTGCGTACGGATTGTTGGATTGCTCGAGACGGCCTCACGATCGAGAGCTGAATCAGGCTCGGAGTCTCGAGGGGCAGCATTGTTTGTCGATAGGATGATCGGTATATGATCACGCAATTTTATCGGAGAAAATTGACGCTGGGCCCGATTTTCTCCCTGACCTCGCGGCACTAAAGGTGGGAACCTCAAGTTCAGGTGTGAAACGACAGTATATGTAGCTTATGCTCCTCCATAAAAGGAGGGAAGCATGAAAAACTATCAGATGGTGAGTCTGATAGTCTCATCATAACGGAGTGAATCGAAACTTCCGTTCCAAAAATCCAGGTAGAGCGTTGGAGGACATCAAGTGTCGAGCCTTCTCCGCGGAGCTTTTCGGAGACCAGGTCCTCCCTCCCATCCCGTCTCCTTCTTGTTCTGGTCACGTGGCTTTTGCCCGGGACCATATCGACCCAATCGTCAGATGGATGCCGCGCAGCACGAAGGGCGCCAGGATCCATGTCAAACTTCTCGCGGGACGCTGAGCGAACTCTTTACCGACGAGAGGAAAAAAAACGAGAAGTGGATTCAAGTTCTTCAAAATCCTCCTCGACTCCGTGTCATGTCTTCAGCACAATCGAAGGGAACTGCAATCCCTGGGCACTAGTAGTATCTCAATGTTCCGCCACGATACCGATCAGGATCTAGGTGTCTATATATATATATAGATCGATCCCAAGCGGACGAATCGCGAATCCGGATTGCTGACAAGCGAGAGGCGCTCTTACTCGGTGTCAGTACGGCATCGCGAGCAAGCGCGCGCATGTCGTTATGGCCATCTCACCTTTCTTCAGGCAACGGGGAAACTTCAATGATCAGCATTGCGTAATGAATTCAGGTCGAGCTCTCATTGGTTAGATTATTTCTCCCGAAATCGGAGGGTGCCTCGATCTGGATCCATCGGATACTTCTTTCAGCGAGCGAAGTCGGAAATTGATGAAAAGCATGAGACTTGATGAGTACCCGATCTAACTTCTGATTCGAATGCGGGCTGGGTGAATCAATACGGAAAAAATATCGTTTCCCATTAACACCACAAAAAGAATGAGATCGTATCTCCCATAGAGCTTTTTCTAATAATCATATTCCAGCCGTCATAGTCGAATCCACGATCTCACTTGGCTGGGCTTCCGTACGCATCCCATATTAACAGAGCTCGTATTCTCTTTATCTGCCCAGGGCTGGAATTCCCGCTCGAGATTTTTCGGGAAGAATCGCGTGCTTCCGACGAGACCTCAGCGCGGGAGATAGACACAGGCAACCATCATTGTGCGCATCGTCGATGGTTCGCGGCAGAGGTCCAGCCGACGGATGTCGCCTCAGCACGCGACGGTGTCGTCTCCGAAAAGCTTGCTCGCCGGGCTGTCGTCTGTCTCGGCGTCATCCACCGTCGTAGAAACGAACGAGACGACCCAAGGCTATATTTTTGGGCTTGTATTCCGTTGACATTCTGCCTTGTTCCGCGGTGTCCCTCGAGTTCCGCTTGTCGCATGTTTCCGCTTCTTGTGTCAATCGTCAGAGTCCTCGATAGTTTTAGATGGCGGCGCGGCGGTGGGGAGGTTTCCATGTAGTTTGTTGGTCGAACGCCTGTGTAAGTGTCGTATATCTACTGTTCATGTGACAACCAGAGAGCGGAACTCGCTCGGTCGGACTGAGCCCAATTCCATGGATGAATACTGAATACTCCCGCTCTCAGACTTGAGGAATGTGCGGCACTGTGAACCCTGGAAATCATTGCAGAGGACATGGTCACCTCCGACGGAATCTGTGATACCGCCGCACACACGGAGCTTGTCTGATGCACGTAATGATGCTCAAGATCGAACGAAGGGATCTGAGGATAATGGCGAAGGGATGATGCTTTTGAAAATGTCTCGACTGATTTCGAACCGCCGGAGAGAATCTTGTAGTTCAAGTCACCGAGCTGGGCGCGCCTTCCGACCCGGTGCTCGCGTCTTCCGGGATTTCATCCAGCGAAGTCAGTGGGAATGTGATGAACTCCTGATGCCGATGCGGTCTGAGTGTCGGTAATGGGCGACGGAACTTCCACCGTCTGGCAAGTATTCGCTCGGATTCGACTGCAGGCTTCTGTTCTCAAGAATCCATGTCCTGCCTGTCAAGGTAATCACTCCTCCCAGATATCGAATCAGAGCTCCATTTTGTGGTCGGAGAAGCCCGTCATCCAATATTCGGTCGTCAGATCAGCGCTCAGGTCGGGAGAAACCTGTATGAAAGCAACCAGTCATCCTCCGCCCAGAGCATTGTATTATCTCCGACGGTTAAGCAGCCTTGGAATATTCCAATCCGAAGCCAGGAAGTCTGAATCAGTTTGATTAGGTTTCCACAAGAACGAAATCAGCTCCCTTCTTCCTTGCAAAGCACAACTTCCCATGTTCCATTTCGGGCGACCTTCAAAAGTGCAGCCGGGTTACCATGTCCACAGAAATTCATCGTCGAGAATATATTGATCACATTCCGGTTGCAGTGATAGCGAAATCCTCCGGGTACACAATCGCCAGTACGACAGATGAGATCGAGTCCCGCTGCCTTCAGGAAACTCAACACCTGCAACGACGAAATTTTCTTCCCCTTTCAGCGTCAGTCCCGGCACCGTAGATGATTATTTTAGCAAAACTGCTTCGGAGACTGTCCTGTACGGAGTAAGGCTCGAGCCGCCTTCCGACTACAAAACCTTAGACTGAATATTTTCATCAGCGAGCAATATTCGCCGGGGATGTACGACCTAGCTTATGTTTATATCGAACTCAATCCTCGAAGCCCCTCGATGACGCTATTAGCTTTTCCTTCACATCAGATAAGTGCTCTCCAGACGGCGACTCGCCACCCTTGATGAAGGTATCGCCGGTCTCCTTCCCCTCAGGATGTTTCGGAGCGACAGGGTGCCGGCGAATGTCATAAAATGATGAGTATACTAACCTTATCGGAGCCATAGCCGCAGGACTCGTCGGCGTGTCCAAGGAAGCCTGTACCTTCGATCGGTTCGGAGAAAACGATTCCAGCAGCAGCTCGCTCGAGTGTGGGGAGCGGCCTAATTATTCTCCTCACGCTGTCGATGGTGTGAACATGTCTGTTGAGTCCCCCGTGGCAAGCGAATATTCTACCCGCAACAACACTCGCTAGCGGGAGGAAGCCGAAGAATTCCATGAGCCTGTGGAGATGGCTCAAATGGTAGCCGGACAGCGAGCCACTATGCTCGAGGTTGTCCGCAGACAGCCAGATAATTCGAGGATACACAAATGAATACCATTCACTTCTAAGGACCTTTTGTACAGATGGGTATCGAAGCGGTATTTGATCTCAGCCTTCAAACCTTTTCTCCGTGTCAGCTCATTCGTCTCCTGGGCTCCACGCAGCATCACAACGCAGCTCGGATATAGCAGTTTGTAGCTCACAAGGAGACAGACCACCTCGAGCGAATTCTTCCCGCGATTGACGAAGTCGCCAAGAAACAAGTACGAGTTCAGAGGCGGGTGCTCACCTACTTCGAGCAAATCCAGAAGGTTTCTGAAGTCACCTGGGGCATCGAAATACAAATATCGAGCTGCTCGAGAAACGGGGCTCTCTAGGCTAGGGAACTCGAGTGCTATCGTGATGAGTCGGAGCATCCTGGCTCGGTCTTCGAGGGCTCATAGACTCTCCTCAATTCACGACGGTCCGTCGTACCGAAAAATTTTGATGAAAGAAATCATGGGGAGCTCCGGCCCTTGGACTCTCGGATGTCGTCGGTCCCGATCCGAGACTTTGTCAGTGAATAACAATTAATTAGAAGTTGGGCTCACCAAACAGACTGCCACAAATCGTGACAGGCCCAGCGATTTCTGTGACTGATTCCTCTCGTCGGACGACCCGTTGACCCCAATCGAGTATGTATTCCACGTCCTCCCGGCTGAGTTCAGAAACCAGGTGAGTCGTTTTCCCAAAGTCGATCAGCTTGAGAACAATGTCTCGAAGACGTTCGCGATCCATCCTGCGGTGCGCCTGTTCCTTGAATACCAGAGCTCATTATTTTCTTTATCGGATGGAGCTTGGCCTGTCTGCGTGCTTACGACGGTACAGAAAGTACCGAATTCCATTGGCCGTTTCGTGTCGGACGAAACACGAGCGGAGGCATCGGTGACGCATGACCTTCCTCTGCTTGCGAGAAGTTCAGAGAGGCAAGTCTTTCGCGGGATCTTCGTCAACCAAGGAAAAAATGGAAGAAGGGATCCCACGTGACAGATGACAGAATGCAGACCCTTACTTCACAGCTCATCCCTCGAGCTTCCGACCGTGAGGACACTAGGAACAACGAAGACCCCGAAGTACTGGAAAAGTGCAGTCAACGTCGAACTCTTCGAATTTGAATGGAACGAAAGCTAACATTGAGGCTGAGTTTCAATGACAACGAATTCGCTGCCCAGGGTTGCGAGTCATGACCCCTGTGACGACCAAAAACTACGACGATTGATGCAAGAGAAGTTCACGAAACCCGGCTCAGCCTAAGGCCATTCGTAGGTTGAAGCATCGCAAAGTTGGATGACACTGCGATTGAAAGAACAGGGTGTCGAATGACGGGAGAATTGGTGTCATGGAAGGTCTTGACCGTCCCGTCCCTTGAGAGGAGACTGACAATGAGAACAATCTTTTTGCAACATACTTCGAGCGTCTGTCACGAGTGATCGTGAATCATCATTCCCAGGTAGAATACACTCGTAGCGCAAAAGTACAGCTTTTGCTCCAGAGCACTTTTTCGTGGTCATTATATCTATGAACGGCAATCATTCCATGACGGAAATGCAAAGGGGTCCCCACATTGAGAGCCGCATAGCTACCGGGGCCGGCGTCATTCTCAAGCTCGAATAGCGTGCCGGACGACGAATATCCGAGTGTTTCCTTCCCCCTCGAGGAGACGGCTCCCCATCAAGATCCAGAAGCCATGGCAAGAGAAACCCGAGGAGTAACCCGATAAGGCGAACAGGAGATTTCCTTGTAGTGAGGAGGTGCCTTGAGCGGTGATTATCCGGAGTTGTCCAACCTCTCAATCTCACATGATTCCCTTGTTTAACGCGAGGTGTACGAGTCCCGGAAAGAGGGAGTTGCATCGACGGAGATGCACAATATTCCGAAGATCGGCATCGAGGGAATCGTTCCTATTGGCATCCATCGTCCCCCCGCCAGGGAGAAACCGTATGAGTCCTCAAGTCGTCTCATCACATCGCCACGAACAAACTCTGAGACGTAGAGCCGCTCTTTGAGGGGGAGGCTGTGGGAAATAGAAGAAACTGCGTCGTGCGCACACTTTAATGTTCCGCCTAGGTATGAAGACTTCCAAATGATATTGTGTGAGCTCCACTGAGAGCGTGGCCAATCGTCCTCTATTGGTAAGCTCTCCTCTGGAGCCTCCGGTGAAATTTGTCCTCGAAATCTCGGAAGACGACCATCGAGGTACGTGCTTTCTCTCCGTGACATGCGGCTCTCGATCCTGTTCGTATTGCTGCTCCTAGGAGTCAGATCAATCGCGGTCACTGGGAGGTCTCAGACTCGCCCGGCTCGATTTCTAAATGGCCGTGACGTAAGCTTGGTCGGCTGATGCGCTCCTCCGGGAACGAGGACGACGATGGAGATGATTGTGCGCCGCGAATGATTACGAGCGCACACGCGTCAGGGTCCCCGGTCCCGTCTCGTATTCTATTTTAGGTCCGCAAACGCGTCAGCAAGAGCCACGTCGATGGGCTGAGACGGTTCATCCTCACACGGAGGAGTTGTTCCCTTGGGAACCGGCTCGCTATCGATGTTGAAGCACAAAACACCAGAACGAGAGCCATATGGAATGAGCTGAAATGGAGCCGGACGACGTCAGCCGTCAACTCGGCTGAGAATCTCGGCGCCTCTGAGCCGCCTAATGCTCTCGCGCATCCGAGCTGTCGCGGACTCTTCCTGGCGTCTATATCGTTGTTCCAGTGTTCTAGAGACCGTCGACATGAGATCTCCGTCTCACTTCCAGCGTTCGTCATTTATCGAAACGCATGCTGCGACAATGTAGTAAAGTGCTTCGACAGTGGCAGTGACCATAGGGAGAAGTTTCCTTGATTCGGAAGTGTCCCAAGCCAGGCTCCGCATCGTCCTGCTACGAAGCATTGTTGTCATGCTGTCGACGACGACCACGCAGCAGCGCTGCGGCCGCTACTTTTGAAACGTAGGTTGTCACTCAAAAGTACTTTCATAACTCATAACGCCGACGCTTCATTGCTGAGCTGGGAAATGCAATATTTGACAAACCAATCCCCATTCCTGTTTAACGACGTTGATCTCTGGTCACCGAGCATCATCATCGTTCTGATCGAGTCAATCACTGTGGAGATTGTGAGCTTAAGCGGAAGAAAGCCACTCATTCAGCGACAATTTAGGTAGAGGACCGCCGAGCAGCCGTTCACTTGCAATTGTTCAGTCGATCGAACGATATAAATATAGGTACAATGTTGCGAGCCGTCAGCCCACCTTTACGAAAAGAGAGAGTCTGACCCGGAACAGGACTCCGTGGAAGATGACCCAGGTCAATTCAGTGCATTGCAGAACCATTCCACGGCTCGAATCTCGCCGTTCTTCAAAATTCTGTCCGCTTCCATGTGACAGCAGATACTTTGACGAATGCCATAACCATCAGAGGATCTCTCTCAGTACATGCACATTATGAGCATCTCATGTCGTCAAATTCCGCTCATATGACAATCCGAGTATCCACTTGTTGAAGTTCATCTCGTAAAATGTCATCGCAATAGACGATCATCCCCGAGACGAGTTTGCCGGAGACTTGACGCAGGGCGTCCCGTATAGAAAGAGTTCCAACATATTCCCTGTCTCGGTATAAGGGAAAATATGAAGGACGCGCTTTGATCCATCCGGGTAGGTTCGCTGCCTGGAATCCATCGTCGGGAGCAATACCTCGTGGCTCGTAGATGATATCCGGTTTGTGGGTTGTTGGGTCCAGTCAGAGAGGGGATCTGGCCGAGAATGGCGATGTTCCCAAAATAATGTTACTCTATGGATCGGATACGGTGAAGTCATGCGCTGACTGGACATTGGTTCGAGGGTCCGCTCTCGCAAAAACTCGCCAATCCTTCTATGGGAACTTTTCGATGTGCCGTGAGCGATCCCCGAATGATTGAAATCATGCTATCGGAACGCTGCGCGTCACAGACACTCCGTGGGACGAGACTCGTGGATACTGATGTGAAAGCCTATATTGCATGTATCCGATGATGCCTCCGATCCGACGAATACCGCCTCAATTAGCCGCGCCGTCGAGCCGTGCTTGTTGTTGTGAGAGCGGCGCTGTGAGGGTGCTCTAGAAGCAGGGGGAGGAAAACGACGAGCTCATGGCATCGCCGCGAGCGATTCGTCTTCACCCGCAGTAGGTAAAAATATACTCTATTGTGTCGCCGGCGATATTCGGCTTCGAGTGTCGAGCGAGCAGAACAACATATATGCGCTAATGATCGGAAACAAGCAATAGAAATGGGTTTTGAGCTCTATGAGGAGAAGGATAATGGGTTTATACTACCTGCGAGTGTCGTTGTCGTCGCTTGCCGCGCGTAATCTTGTCAGTTTCATAAATCGGATCGTAAATCCCAATGACTGATTCGTCAGCTGTTTTGGAAGTGGCAGTTTTTCACCGACGACACCGTGTCGCCGGCGCGGAATCAGCTCCGCAAGCCCATCTGCCACGTCATGGAAGTGCCAGCTTCCACGACTCCAGCGGGAACGAGCTCGAATTCTACCCGAACGCCGGATACGCCTAAGCGATGAATGTATCGCGAAATCGGGAGTATTCTCTCGGGGCAGAATACTTCTAGGTGTGTGGAGGTCGTAAGAAGAACTCTGAGGGTCGCTCCGCGTAGGGAAGGTCTTCCTTTATGTCAATAATGGTGTCCCTGAGATCTGAGACATGTGCTTCATTCCCGGACGATTCCGTTCTCGAGAGAAACGCAAAAGCTCCGTGGATACCGTAGAGCTACGACGGCGACGTTTTACATACGCGCTGGAGCGTCATTTGACGCGGAGCTCAGCTCCTCGTAATCGTAAGATCTCTCGCTCTCACTATTCCTATCTGGCTTCCTTTCGTATGCTCTCTCGGACAAGAGGCTGACTCGTTACGTCAAGACATGTCCTTGCGTCACTACGAATCTGATCTCCGAGACGGCGCAGACAGCAAACGGAGTGAGACGCATTGAGTTCGGCAGGTAGGGCCACTGTCGGTGCTTCCGAGCGTCAAATAAATTCCGGGCGCCAACCATAGTGGGTGAGCGATTGGGTCGAGCTCCCAAATACATTCATTTTCGGGAACGCAGGAGCAAAGCCACTTTGCTCGAATGAGATCTCGATTTATGCGATGGATACGTCGGTCTTGAGACACCCTTGGTCCCACTTACGCACAGACCGTGTCGAGAGAACGCCTGCAAGGACCGCCCGAGCGGAGAGGGCGGATCAGCGGCAGATCACGTCATCATTGACTAGCCGTCGTCGTAGTAGTCCCCAAATAGTAGAGCTGGTGCGTTTAACAGTTATTCTTCGGACCACGGGCAGACGCAGTCGTGTGTGTTGTTGATGCTGCTGCTCCTGCAGGGAATTTTTGTGAAATTCTGATATATGCCGACTTCGAATGTGTTGAATGAGTGGTTTTTAGTGGACTTTATTTTCATCGAGCCTATGTGACTGATCCAGCGCACGATTGAAAGGTGAGATTAGGCGGAAATTCAGGCCACTCTCGCAGACAAACACGCAGCAAGCACACACACGGCCAGCCACGGCAGGCAAGCGAGCGGGCAGGCACACTGGCTGCCAGGCGAGTCTCACTCAAAACTCAGAACGAACCCAGGGCTCCCTCTGTTTTTGTTTTGACGAGCTTTTCCTCAGTTTTCACCACTTCGAGCGAAAATTTTGGATTTCCCTCGCGTCGTATGACGTCACACGATCTCTCCCAGTGCTAC